CAGTCTAAATTTCCTTGAGGGATCGCGCGATATGCGACTGAACGCAACATTTGCATGCAGGCGGCCCATTATCCACAAGGGGCAGGCACAAACCCTATTTATAAGACTGGCGCTGTGAGGCGCACCTGAGGATGAACGTAATTCGACCCATCGCTGATGAAGGATACATCGTTTAGGAAAATCTGTTGACCTTCCAGAAACCCGAAGAAGAAAGTGGAGGGGATCAGAGACGCTATTTTGTTGGGCATGAACGGGTGCACCCAAGGAATGGTTTGGCCATTGGGGGAGTCTGATTGGTAGCCACGCGCCGATGCGTCCCTGCTAAAGTAGTGATAGTGTGAGTCCCTGCAGAAAAAGTGTGTGTCTATTGTGTACTCGATACCATAAGCGGAAACGACCAGCAACCCCGGAAATCTAGAAATAGCTCCGTGGCCAAACTAAGTCGCTATCTGATTGATATGATCCAGCCCCCGACATCGGCGAGAGCCCCACTTTGTTTGATACGGGACATGGCAATCTCGAGAAATACGCGATTGCGAATACGGAGATGAGCAGTTTGGAGTCTGGAGTCTGGACTCCAAATCATAGAAGGAGGATTGAGCACGGGCACGGGGGATACCCCCGAGGAGATTCACAGCTCAGGGCGCATTATCCTGAGAACTCAGGGGGGTGCTTTGACTGCTTCCGGCGTGGGGTGATTCGGAGAAGAACGGCGCCATCCACTAAGTTATCTGATCCGGAACCATCGTTTTGTGTGGATCACGTGCATCCACGGGCTGAAGCCAAGAATGGGGGAATGTTTGTGACTGAGGAATATGACGCCCGTGATTTCATTAGCAAACAATGATAAGCATAATATTGTGATCAGAAGGGGTATGAAACCCCCTTTGACATTCATGAGTGTCACGCATCCAGCCTCGGGTGGAGGACATTTGAACAACGGCTTAACCGAGGGCGACGAACAGGGATGGGTTGCAACCGGATCAGATTAGATCGGTAATCTATTCGGGTACATTTCCGTTACAGACCGGTACCTTCGGTCGTATGGTCACAAAGGAACTTCCAACTTGCTCATGGCACATCGACAGCAAGAAGAGAACAAAGATAGAGAAAAGAAAGACCAAAATCCAATCATTTCAGACTAATCGAGATTGACTGTTGTTTCCAACACGGCTGGATATACCGCTCTTTCCCGATCATCTGACTGCGTGTCTATTTCCCCGCTAGAGTAAAATGTTCCGCTTAGCTGCAGATCTCGCTGAACACTTGTCAGTTCCCCAGGAATCTAGGGCCTTGACGACTGTATCGTTCTCCTCCTATGATCCCACAGAGATAGTAAGCAGCGGGACTGACAGGTATAATCGATTGCCATTAAGCCATGAGAGCCCAGTACAGTCGAATGGAAGCAAGACGGAGAAGTGCCGGGTCAGTCGTCCGGAAGGCGAAAAGTGGATAAAGGAAAAGTTACCACCGCGTACGATAAGTGTAATGACGTTTACTCACCGCGAATGAAAATCAATGTGGCGAGATTGTGTGCCCATTTTTCTCTCTTCCGGCTGTTCCCCTTCACATCATTCTTATTTCACTCCTTATCTGATTTGCGTTTCCTGCAAGTCGGTGATAGCGCCTCCTCAACATTATTTCTTTCTCCTCCCCCCATTTCGAGTCCACATTACGCATTGATTAGTTCTTCATTACTCAGAATAATAAAAAAAAAAAAAAGAGGAGAACTTCCTGAATGATCGACCCTCTCAGCTGACATAGCGCCAACGACGGAACCATCATCCCGGTGCCATTTGTGCCCCAGGCCTAAGAGGAGTCAACAAATTCCCACCTCATCCCACTTCCTCCCGTCCACCCTTCCGATTTGCTCTCCTGATCCTACCGGTGTCAAACGGCCATTGTCGTTTCCACTTTGCTAATTAAGACCATTCCTCAATCGCTTGGCTTGGTCGTCCCCCTTTCTTCTACACAATCCTTTTATAAATTCATACCCGTCCCCGAAAAAGCAATCACCACGTCTCTGGTCTCCAGCTCTCGATTGATCTGGCCAGTATCCTTCTTTCGAGTGATCACCCCGTTCTTGTATCAATTACGTACCGACACAATGGGTATGTGGCCCTCATCTGGCTGTTATAGCCAATTGGCTTTCTAGACTAGGTAGCTGACCTTGGTTCCTTGACAGTGCATGCCGTTCCTTCACCACCGCCGAGGTCCACGGCGGTGTCAAAAACCTCTTATACTCCCAATGGTGACCACCATGCCATTCCGGTGTCGTCTACCTCGCACCCGGATAACCCGGTGCCAGAAGAACCTCGGGGTGTGAGGTCATTGTCGGTGACGGATATGAGCTTCAATGTCTCATCCGCTGAAACCGATAGCAGTCCTAGCTCGGGAACTCCGTCGACTGTCCCTACTGAGCCTCAGTCGGACGCTGAAGATGTAGCCCAGAAGTCAGAGGAAAACGGTACTAGCCATCGACGCCGAGCCTCGACTGTGCTTATTTCCCAGAACTCCGCCGATATGCAACGAGTTCTGCAAAACGTCGGCGCTCCAGGCACGCAGAAGATCCAACCGTTGTGCTGTGGTGGTGGATGCTGCCGTAGCCAGCCCCTGATCAGAGGCGACGGCCCTGTCTCCGGTGTCGTTGTGACTCCACCTCAGAATAAGGCCTATGACGCTCTCGAGTTGAACGTCGATCTCCTTACCATGGATAGTGAGCTCACCGATGTTGTTGACCTTCCCGCAAAGACGGTGTCCTTTGCAGCTGTCCCTGCATCGGCTGTGGAGATGCAACTTGGACCGAAGGATCACCCCCCTCCCTTCGTCCAGCCTCATCCCCCGTACAATGTATATCGCGCTCCTCTGCACCACGCGCGAGAACTCACCAAGTCCGGTGCTGAGAAACGGACCTACCATTTCGACATCGACGTGACCGACTATCCCGCGGAAAGTGGCAACGTGGACTTCGTTGTTGGTGGCGCAATCGGCGTGTGTCCCATGAACAAAGAGGAGGAGGTCGACGATATCTTCAACTGCCTGGGAGTTCCCAAATCGATCCGTGATAAGAAGATCACAGTACGCACAAGCACGGGCCGGTGGCCCACTATCTGGGGTGACGAGCAAGCCCGTGAATTGATCACCACACGCAGGGAGCTCCTGAACTGGTGCTCAGATATTCAGAGTTACTCACCGTCGAAGGAATTATTCCGTCTTTTGGGTGAATACGCCAGCGAGCCCAACGAGAAGAAGATTCTCCTGTTCCTCGCTTCAGCTCAGGGCCAAGGCGCCTTCTGTGATCTCCGTACCGCCTCTCATGTCTCGGTATCTCAACTTCTGCACGCATTCCCCTCCTCCCAGCCGCCTTTGGACCATCTTCTCTCCGTTCTCAACACTTTAATGCCCCGTTTCTATTCTCTATCTCAAGATCCCCTCCTCTCGTCCGCCCAAAAAGGTGGCCAATCCCGCCGTCTCGTTGAAGTTGCCGTTAGTGTGGCAGAATCCAAAGACTGGAAGGGCGGGTTGCGAACCGGTGTAGGATCTGGGTACCTTGAGCGGCTGGCACGGCAAGTTATGGAGGCGGAGCGTCAGGGCATCGACCCTTCAACTCTCAACCTTCATGTCCCCATGTTCCGGGGCTTGATGGCTAACCCATTGGCTAAGCGGTTCCATTCGGACGGCCCCATGCTCCTGATTGGTGCTGGTGTGGGTATTGCTCCCTTCCGTGGTTTTGTCCAGCGCCGTTTGCAGTCAGCCAACTGTGCCAACAAGGTGTGGGTTCTGCAAGGTGTGCGTGATTCCCTCCTGGACGAACTCTACCGCGGCGAGTGGGGTGTCGATGAGGAAAAGGTACGAACTGTGGTTCAGAGCCGTCGTGGTGAGAGCAGATACGTCCAAGAAGAGGTCCGTCATCAGGCCGACCTGGTCTGGTATGTGATCAACGCACTGGACGGACGTGTCTTTGTCTGCGGTAGCGGCAAGGGCATGGGCGAGGGTGTTGAGGCTGCTCTGGTTGATGTGGCTATGGCCAAGGGCAACCTGAACGAAGAGGAGGCCAAATTGTTCTGGGACAACAAAAAGGAAGCTGGCCAGTACATTGCTGTAAGTGATTGCGACTCTATAATAAAAAAACTGTGGCTAACGACGGAACTAGGAAACTTGGTGATGGCACATATATCTTTTTAGAGTACAGTTGAGCTGAGTTGAACTCGGCTGTTTCATACATTGTTTGGGTCTGGTATATTAGGTTCATTTGCATGCCCCTGGGATGTATTGTTGGATTTATCGGGTTGCGTATATTTGTCTGATTCTTTGTTTGCATGCCATTAGCGGGTGGTTTTCTGATTCTTACCTGGTTGAGCCGGGTTTTTTCTTACAGTCAAAACTATGGTTGTTACTTCATAGATGATTTGGTAGCAATACCTAATGATATACTGTTGGGTTAAACGGGTCCTTAATAATCACTTAGTCTACAACCCGAGACATTCTATATGAAGACCTTAGGAAAGATCTAGATATTCCCGGTAAGTGAAATACCTACACATGGGCTCATTGCACAAGGGCCTCTGCTACTAACCTGTCTTTCTACATAGATTCCTTGGCCATGAATGTAGATAGACGAGACTCATGATAACCCCAATCACCAACCAGAGCTCTTTCACCTCCGCCAGCACAACACATACCTCATTGAAGACAATATCCAAAACAGATGATCTTACTAAAACATCAAGCAATTCAGAACAGATCTTCACAAACCCGGGAGATAAATCCTCCTATATAGCCGCCAAGTCCAACGACATATATCTATACCCACAACTAAGCAATCCACCTCCCATTATCCTACTTGTCTCTTGAGTCCATCCTCATATAACAAAGAACACCTACAATACGAAGTCATATCAGTCAACATTCTGGGGATAGAAAGAAGCAGCCAACAAGACGCCGGGCAGTTAGAAGGTAAAAAGCACTTGACTGTTAATACTTTGATTATAATTAATAATCGCTGCGTGGCGGAATTGGCTAGCGCGGCCTGGTTTCGCACCGGGAGTATGCAGGTTCGAGTCCTGTCGTGGCAATGTTATTCTCTTTTATCAGATTCTCTAGATAGTTAGTTACTCGAGTGAAAGTGATAGTAGCTGACCCGGACACCATCTCTACTTATTTGCTTACAAGCCGTAACTGGCGGAAGGGAAGGACCTGACTTGTTTTTGCCTTGGAGATTGGACTATATAAGACTAGACTTGGAAGATCATTGTATGCTGAAGGTTTCCTGTGAATTAGAGCCGTATTTGGTTGTTTGAGCGATCTATCAGATACCGGTAGTTGCTGTGGTTGCTTTTGTTGGGTCATAGGGGTTAGTCGTGTTTTAGTCATTTTTAACTATATTTCTGTTTATACTGTATTTTGAGTGGTTTAATGGATATACTACTAGGTGACTATAACCGCTTCTAATCCAAGTATATTGCTCTTACCCCCGACCTAAAACCAAGAATATCAAATCAGAATATATAGTCCAACAAACTCTACAACCCCAATTCGCATCCTCATCCCCCAAAACAATATATAAAGAAGAAGAAAAAGAACAATCCAAACCGTGAATCCCCTCACAAACTACACTCCCAAAGCCAACAATGCCATTCTACCCAGCAAACCATAAAGGCCTCCATCACCGCGACAAGAAACCCGTCCTTCACCACACCCACGCCGAGACTCACAAAGAAAAGTCAGAACAATCACCACAATTCAATTTATCATGGTACTCAATCACAGTTTTGCCCGGAGATATATCAAAACCCGGAGTTGAGTTACATCTCCGAGAGACGCCTTCCCGGAATCGAAGGGGATAAGAACTATATTACTATCTTGATATCATCTTTACATACTCATGGTTCATTCCATTTATCTATATCGAACTATCTGACTCATCTCTAAGGAATACAACCCAAACCACAACCCCACGAACAAAGACAAGACAAAGACAAAGCCAAAACAAACCCTGTATCAATGCAACACCCGAACAACCAACAAAGAAACCATCTACCACAAAGCCATTCAGACAATCTATCGCATATAACCCGACCCATTCAACCTCATCATCGAGTCTAGTTCAATTCCAATTCCAATTCCAACTCCAACTTTCGAAATCCCCCCCATCCAATATGCATTACGTCTACTACGCCTCGCTATATACCGTCTGGGCGCTGATGCCCGTCGGGATCCCGGACCGGGAGTGGTGGGCCGAGATGGCCAAGTTCTTGGAGGAGTGTCTCGTGGTTATCCAGTTTAGTGGCGATGACCGGTTTAAGATTAAGAAGGTCAATCCTGTTGTGGATGAGGGGTATGAGACTGGGGAGGGGAGTGATTGTGGGGGTAGGTTTCGGGGTTGTGTTGGGGATGAGTATAGTGAGGATGAGGGGTTGAGTGAGGATGGTATTGAGGGGAGTCATACTGATGATGAGGATGCGAGTGAGGTGGAAACGGTTATTGATGAGGAGGGACATGCCACTGATGACGGTGATGAGGAGGACGACAACAACGACAATGAAGAGCACGATGAAGAGGTGAGAGAGAACGACATGGCAGGTCAACGTGATGGACATATACCGGAGATCGTGATCAGGATTTCTATGGAAGCAGGCGGACAAGTGGAAAGTAATGAGGAGCGTCTACGTCTGGATGCGTATGGACATGGACACCGGGACTCTGAATATCGGGCTTGGGCGCTCAAAAACCTTCCCAGGTAGGGCACTACCTTTCATTGGGATGATGAGAACGGGGAGCCTACTTTCGACGACGTGCAATATCAGCTGTGGCAAAAGGTCTGTCATGATCTTCGTGAGATTGATCTTAAGCTACGTGGTCGAGTCTACACGAAACTTGCACTTGGGTTTCGTTGATTGTATGGCTGGAATTCGGGAGAATCTTGTTTGGCATATCTGGATATGAGTGATGAGGCTATTCAAACATTGGTAATATATAAGCTATGAGCTTGCATTCATATTCGAACGTTAGGGCTAACCACTTCGACAGAGAGTCAAAAGCGAAACGGAAGATAGTAGTTGGAAATATGTGTCCATACAAGTGAGTATATCTCTTCTATCATCTTAGACTGACTCGGACATAACGCATGTACATAATTCTTAATCTCACATATGACTACTAAATGACTACTAAATGACTACTAAAACCGGTGCCATTCCTTCAATCAACACACTACCCATCCTTAGTTGAACTCCAGTAGCATGTGCAGTTAGTACAGATACATCGGATGATAATCAGATAGAATGATAGTCACTATTTGGTCCACCTTCACAGGAATAAGACACTTCGCAGTCAAACGACATCCTCCAAAGACATTCATATATGCTGAATACCAAGTCAAGCTCAAACCCATAGATCTACCTCATTAGTCGAGCTAAACATACACCCACCAACTAAATCCCACTCCCACACAGTAGTGAAACGATATATCCTCATTAGATAAACCCAAACATCAACCACAAATACCATTAGATGCCAAAACTCATTTACATCGGCTACAAAAAACCATATCCAAAGAATAACTCCAAAACAACAATATCAAAGCAACCACTCCACTCCACGGAGTACACTACACATGAACCCCCTCTACATCTAGGAACTAGTATAGCACCCCATAAAATACCCCACAATATCATAGTAACCCACACTAGATACAATAGCTTCCTTAGTGCCCAACGAACCAACGTATACCCAAACCCGCAAACAACACCAGAATAGAATCTAAGTCCAACTTCGTCCCCCATGTCCACATGTCCCATTCGTATGTATCTGAGTACATACTTCCTCCCTTCCCCGGCCTTCAAGCAGGACAATAATGAAGAAACGAAGAGACTACGTAGACGAGAAAGAGAAGGAGAGAACCTCCCCCGCACAGACCCCCTATATCCAACCCAGTCCACCAGCACTTTACCAACGAAGCATAAGAAGGATACCAAAAAGGAAGTAACCAAAACAACGCCACAACAAATCCACACGAGTCATGACTCATGACTCGATACCTAAACCATATCCGCAGCTCGCTTATCCAACTTGGAAGGCTCTACGCTAAAGGAGTTACTAGCCACAGATACCATCGCACAGACACCTACAACTCAGCACATCCACCCACCATGCCAAAAACAACTCAAAAATTGACTATACAAAATAAGTATACCGCATGATACGTACATACGTACATACAATACCGTACCTGAACCGAAGCAAAATACATCGTATGTAACTAGTATTTTTTAATTATGTATGGATGTATGTCTGTATGTACAAGTACCCAAAAAGGAAATGGGAAAAGAAACAGGACTATTCGCTGCGAACGCACGGCCGCTTAGAGACGCCTGCACGTACAAGTACACGTCCTGCATATGATATATTCCTGACCCAAATCCCGAATACCGGGATGCGAGAGGCATCGGGTAGAAACCTGAACGGCGTTATTGTGCAGTTTGCAGGTGGTCACTAATGTCGGTGGCTTGTTTGGGGAATAGTCTGTGTGTTGGATCATATTTGAAACGGAGATCATAGGTGGGAAGTTGGGTGGTGGGAGGGTGGTTGTTGTTTACTTGTTTTGTGGGGGTGACACTTTGCTTCTTTTTTTCCCTTTTTCTTTTTTTTTTTTTTTTTTTTTTTTTGATTTTTGATTTTCGATTTTCTATTTTCT